ACATTTCAAAATCAACCCGTAGTAAATACCAAATTATTTAGAGTACCTACCTAGTAATTTAAAAAATAATAATTTTTGACGAAAAATGTTTACTTTTTAATGTAATAAAAATAATTGTCCGATTGCGTATGTTGATAGGAGTATAGGACAATTAAATAGCTTTAAAATAGAAATAAATTTCGTCAAAATGTTGAAAAGTTTTGACGATAAATAAATAAATGCTTGATAGGTTTGGTTTTGATAAAAAAAATTTAATTGCCCATAACATCAAAAATAAAAAGTTAAATCCACTTATTAAATGGTATTTTTCATTATTTTTGACATACTTTCATATGACCTCGGTCGGTCACTTCCTCCCGGAACATATTGTAAAGCCTATATTTTAGGAATTTGTTTGTGCGTTGAATAGTACTACTCTACTATAATATACAGAAGAATCATTTGCGTTGTAGTCGTATGACTTGTGAATATTGATTATTAATCTGACCCTTGCATCTTAAAACAAATTGTACCTACACGATAATATTTTATTGCAACCACTAGACGACTGAACAATATAATATAGATCCTCCTCGACTTACTATAATCAACGAAATAAATTATTTAATAAGATAAAAATTAAAAGGCTATAGTATAATATATTAATACATTATACATTTCACAAAGCATAGAATATAGATATTTTATCTTTACTAATTTACGACATATACCCCTTTCGTTTTTAAAACTTGATTTAGGTACACTACACATAAATAAGTAATTGCTTAATATGATTAAAAATGCAATAAAATTGCTATAATAAACAAAATGTGAATATATTTTCAAAATTCGAAGGGTTGGTCGGAATTTTGGTCTGGCGGCGAAACGGTGGCGGCGAATCGGTGGCGGCGAAACGGTGGCGGCGAATCGGTGGCGGCGAAACGGTGGCGGCGAAACGGTGGTGGCGAAATGTCCGGCGGCGAAACGTCCGGCGGCGAATCGGTGGCGGCGAAATGTCCGGCGGCGAAACGGTGGCGGCGAAATGTCCTAGACCCCTGAGAATAGGAGTCAATTACATATAGGGGTTATGTTATCAAGAAATTATATAGTAAAATAAAAATTAGGTAGTTGAATTTTGTTTGGATAGTTACGAGATTTTTAGTTTTAAGAATAGGATAAATTCCTATAGTACATAATAGAGACATTAATATGAGAATTAGTTTATTGTAAGTGACATATTAGCCTGTTGCGATAAATAAAAGTATTTAATGGACAAGTTAATGTATAGAACCAATATATTATATCTGAATGAAACTTTTAATTCCGAACTAAACGAAATTAATCTAATAATTTAGTACGGCCAATCGAAGAAGTCGATTTAGGTAACTATTTTTCAAATTCCAGGTTTGGAAAGATACCTCTGTCAGCAAAACTTGTTCAAAAATTTACACTGTGCTCTCTATACGTAGTTGAGACTTTAGAAAAGGAAGATTTTAACCAATTACCAGCACAAAAGAAATTTGAATTTATAATTTCCCAGCGAACAGTTGCGTGGATAAATTTATTAAATAAATCGGAAATAGTGGGTTTCTTAGAATTTTGTAATATAGATAGTGACATTTCATCGACAATTAACGAATTAAGAAATCTTGCAAAATCAGCATTAAAAAGTTTTAGGAACGACGAAGACGACGCTGAGGATAGCTTAAACGAAACAGAATTAACTTTTACAGAGGACAATTTACAAAATAGTGATCAAAATTTATTGAACGTAATTGTTGTTGAAGACGATTCTAATAAAAAAAAAACTGAACCAGAAAATATAGATATTAAAAAAAATATATTAACAGCAGATCCTATACATTTCAAGGTAGAAACCCACAATAATACTTCGGGTGAACAGATCAACACTAAGAATATTATTGAAAAAAATTCAAAAAAATCTTTCAAAAATAAACAAAGTATAAAAATGTCGTTTAACCATAAACCCGATATTTTCTCAGGAAAAGAAAACGAGGATATTGATAAATTCATAAAAAAAAATTTGAACTTATAGCTGTCGTGAACGAATGGAACGACGAACACAAAGTAATTATTCTACAACTATATCTTAAGGACTCAGCAGAAGATTATTTTGAACAACTAAAATCAAAAAACGAAAATATAACATGGAACGAAGTCAAAAGTGAATTAATAACAGAATTTACATTAGTAGGAAATAAACACTTACTAACGGCAAAATTGGAAAATCAGAAACTAGCAAAAGGAGAAACATATAAAGAATTCATAATTAAAATAGTAGGCATATGTTATAAAATAAACAAGAATATGACCGAAGAAGAAATATGTGAACACATTCTAAAAGGAGTACCCAAAGAAACCTGGCCATCGGCGGTGGCGACTGGATCAGCTTTTGCCGGACCGTCATCGTGACATAACGCGAATATAATTGTTGTTCAGATAGACTGTTGACGATTTGTACAATATAATTATCTCATATTTAACGTGTTCGTTGTCGTTA